ACAACCACCTTTTCAGAATAAACCTCCTCCACAGTCAGAATCATTTTCTTTGGAAGCAATGATTAAAGGACTCTTTGCACATGCACAAGCACAAAACCAAGCTTTAATAAATCAACAAAGTGCGGTCATCAGGAATTTAGAGACTCAAGTCAGTTAACTTGCGCTTAACCAGAACAATTGAGCCCTTGGTACCTTGCCCAGTAATACAGAGGTCTCTAGAGACCTAGGTAAGGAACATGTGAAAGTAGTAACCCTTAAGAGTGGGAAGGAGTTGAAAGAAAAAGTGCCCAAAGATAGTGCACCAATTTTGACAGAAGCTGATACTACAGCATTGGTTCCTGCCAAAGAAAGACCGGTCCTACCCTTAGAGAAATAGGCATTAGAGACCACCACTTCTGTCCCTCCTAGATCAGACTTTCCATTACTCTTTCCTGAGGATGCTCTGAAAAAGTCAAAAGAACTGAGGTATTAGAGACCCCTAAGCTTGATGCTAACATTTCATTTGAACCTCAAAAGGGCACCACAAAGACCCAAGGCAGTTAAGACCCGTCTTGCTCAACTCATCCAAGTAAGAGTGTGATAAAGCCAGTCCCTCCTTATGTTCCCTACCCCCAAAGTTTGAGGAATCAAAAAGAGGAACTGCACTTTAARAAATTCTTGGATGTGTTTAAAGAATTGCACATCAACATCCCGCTTGTTGAGGCAATTGAGCAAATGCCTAGTTATGCCAAGTTTCTGAAGGACATCCTAAGCAAGAAGAAGAAGTTGACTGAATATGAGACAGTAGCCCTAACCGAAGGATGTAGTGTACTTTTGACCAATAGCATAACCCCTAAGCTGAAAGATCCAGGGAGTTTTACCATTCCTTGTTCAATTGGAGGGAAGGAGATAGGGAAAACCTATGTGACTTAGGAGCTAGTATCAACCTCATGCCTTTGTCTGTTTTCAACACCTTAGGCATAGGAGAAGCTAGACCGACCACAGTCACACTCCAATTGGCCAATAAGTCCATAGCATATCCTAAGGGGAAAATTGAAGATGTTTTGGTCCAAGTTGACAAGTTCATATTTTCGGCGGACTTTATCATTCTAGATTTTGAGGCAAATAAGGATATTCCTATTATCTTAGGAAGACCATTTCTAGCCACCGGAAGAACTTTGATAGACGTCCAAAACGGAGAATTAACCATGAGACTCCAAGACCAGAAAGTCACTTTTAATGTCTTAAACTCTCTAAAGTACCTTGATTACTTGGAAGAGTGTTCAAGAATATCTGAGATAGAGGAGATGTGTTTGGAAGAGGGAATTCACAAGAACCTTAAGTTGGAAGGAGAATATGATGAGGAAATAGAAGAGGAAAGTGTTGAGGAGGAATTAGGAACTAATGTTGTCCCAGTGGATGCTGCAGCATTTGAGCTGCTAGAAAATAATGAGCAAAAAGACTTCACCCCATCCATAGAATCACCACCTGATTTGGAGTTGAAACAACTCCCATCCCATCTAAAATATGCTTTTCTAGGAGAAGAAGGCAAATTGCCTGTCATTATCTCGTCTACCCTAGAATTGCATCAAGAAAAGAAACTTGTGGATRTGTTGAARTTGCATAAGAAAGCCTTAKGATGGACCATTGCTGACCTTAAASRGATTAGTCCCTCTATTTGTCAACACAAGATCATCCTAGAAGATAGAAATTTCACTTCCATAGAACCCCAACGAAGGCTAAACCCGGTCATGAAAGAGGTAGTCAAAAAGGAGATTTTAAAATGGTTAGATGCCGGAATCATTTTTCCGATTGCCAGTAGTTCTTGGGTTAGTCCGGTCCAATGTGTTCCAAAAAAGGGAGGGTTCACAGTCATCACAAATGACAAAAATGAACTTATCCCTACTACAGTTGTCTCCGGTTGGAGAATATGCATGGACTATATGAGACTAAACAAGGCTAACCAAAAAGACCATTTTCCACTACCTTTCATTGACCAAATGTTGGATAGGCTAGCCGGAAAGGAGTTCTACTGTTTCTTAGATGGTTATTCAGGGTACAATCAAATAGCCATTTCTCCGGAAGACCAAGAGAAAACCACCTTTACTTGTCCCTATGGCACCTTTGCTTTCAAAAGAATGCCATTTGGACTTTGTAATGCTCCAGCCACCTTTCAAAGGTGTATGATGTCCATCTTTTCTGATATGCTTGAAAAATCCATTGAAATATTTATGGATGATTTTTCTGTGTATGGTTCATCATTTGATAATTGTTTAAATAATTTGAAAAAGAGCTTGAAAAGGTGTGAGGAAACAGACTTGGTCCTTAACTAGGAGAAATGTCATTTCATGGTCAAAGAAGGAATTGTTCTTGGACACTTGATTTCAAAGAGAGGGGTTGAGGTAGATAAGGCAAAGCTTGATGTAATTGAAAAACTACCCGAACCTACCACGGTTAAGGGAATCAGAAGCTTTTTGGGTCATGCCGGATTTTATAGAAGGTTTATCAAAGATTTTTCTAAAACTTCAAAACCTCTTTGTTTACTCCTCCAGCATGACCAAAAATTCAATTTTAATGATGAATGCAGAAATGCATTTAGAACTTTGAAAAAAGTTTTGGTTACCGCACCTGTGGTAGTTGCCCCAGATTGGTAGTTGCCCCGGATTGGAACAAACCTTTTGAGATCATGTGCAACGCTAGTGATTGGGCGGTAGGTGCTGTACTAGGACAAAGGAAAGACAAGGTGTTTCATTCAATCTATTACGCAAGTAAGATTTTGAATGAAGCACAAATTAATTATACCACAACTGAGAAAGAATTATTGGCCATAGTTTTTGCTTTTGAGAGATTTAGGTCTTACTTGATGGGAACAAAGGTAATTGTGCATACCGATCACTCAGCCATCAAGTACCTAATTTCAAAGAAAGATGCAAAACCAAGGTTAATAAGATGGGTGCTTTTATTGCAAGAGTTTGACTTAGAGATTTTTTATAGAAAGGGGGTAGAAAATCAAGTAGCGGACCATATGTCTAGGTTGGAAGAGCCCGAGAAAGGAGGAATGGACATTAGTGATACTTTTTCTGATGAAAGAATCCTCTTGATTGACCAACCAAAAACACCATGGTTTGTGGATTTAGCTAATTTTTTTGGCCTGTGGAATAAAACCCTCTGATTACACAGGCCACATGTTGAAAAAATTCTTTCATGATGCTAAATCTTATTTGTGGGATGACCCATTTTTGTTTAGACTTGGTGTAGATCAGATTTTGAAAAGATGCGTGCCCGAAACTGAAGTAGCAGCAATCCTGCAGCATTGCTATCATGCACCATACGGAGGCCATTTTGGAGGCCAAAGAACTGCAACCAAAGTTTTACAGTCCGTTTTTTATTGGCCAACCATTTTTAAAGATTCCCACAATTTTGCACAAAGGTGCAACGAGTGTCAACGGAGTGGCTCCATTTCCGAAAGGAATGAAATGCCATTAAACGGGATACTCGAAGTTGAATTATTTGATGTTTGGGGAATAGACTTCATGGGTCCTTTYCCTCCATCAAATAATTGCCAATACATACTTGTGGCTGTTGACTACGTATCCAAATGGGTGGAGGCTATGGCATGTGTGTCAAATGACGCAAAAACTGTGGTTAAGTTCATCCAAAAACAGATTTTCACACGGTTCGGTACCCCTAGGGCACTAATTAGTGACGAGGGTACCCACTTTGTGAATAATTTGTTAAAAGGAGTCCTTGAAAAATACAATGTTAACCACATAATTGCCAAGGCCTATCACCCACAAACTAATGGTTTGGCAAAGCTCTCTAATAGGGAAACTAAGAGCATTTTGGAAAAAGTGGTCAAGCCCAATAGGAAGGACTGGGCATTCAAATTAGACGATGCTTTGTGGGCATACTGAACCGCTTTCAAAACACCAATCGGTATGTCTCCATATAAGCTCGTCTACGGAAAAGCCTGTCATTTGCCTTTAAAACTTGAGCACAAAGCATATTGGGCTATCAAAGAGCTCAATATGTCTTTGGATGAAGCCGGAAAGAAAAGAAAGTTTCAACTTTGTGAAATGGAAGAACAAAGACAAATGTCTTGTGAAAATGCCAAACTTTATAAAGAAAAGACAAAGAAATGGCATGATAATAGGATCCAACACCGGGAGTTGAAAGAAGGGCAAAAGGTCCTCTTGTTTAATTCTAGGTTGAAACTATTCCCGGGAAAGCTCAAGTCTAGGTTGTCCGGACCCTTTGTCATTCATAAAGTTTACCCTTATGGAGCGGTTGACCTCATTAACCCGGAGGACAACACGGTGTTTAAAGTAAACGGACAGCGAGTTAAGGTATTTCATGATACAGTAGCATTCCCAGAGCATTGCTCTGAGAATTGGGCTATACCTTAGGAATGAAGGTGTTTTTGGACTTTTTCAAGTCCAAAGTTTGTTTGTAAACATTTTCCCTCTTTATATTTCTGTTTTAGAGCTTTTATGTTTTATTAGTTTGTTCTTGTGTAGGTTGTTTTCAAAGAGATTATCATAGGAAGTTGATGTTCTGCCAATGCTACAACATTCATAGGTTCACATGCGAGGTATTTCAGCATCTTTGTAAGGAAGTCAGAAAAGTACAGGTGACCTCATCACTACATCACAACAGTTTTTGTCAGCCAAATTTCTCAGATTTTGTCCCCCATACACCAATACCCACTCCATCATAATCAATGTTTACCCATTGGATAACTACTTTTGACACTTCCTTAACCGTCAAGTGCTTGTGATTAGAAAGACTTAATAGAGAGATGACCTTTCATCTTCCCCGTAACCACCTTTGTCAATCAAAATAGCCGGCTGTTTCTTCCACCCATTACCTGTCGGTTTCTCACTTCAAATCACCATCTCCATTACTAAAACCTACCATCAAATCCCTCTTTCACTAAAAACACCATTGCTTAAACCACTCTCATTACACTCACTGACACCACTCCACTCGCCTCTCCTCTCTATTCGAAAACCGTGGCTCGCATGAAAAGGACGGCAGTTCGCGACCCACCACAATCGGTCCGACGAAGTAACCGCCGACAAGCATGCGCCTCCGCCTCGCGACGGACAGGGGAGCCCGAAATGATAGACCTTGCAGCCAATAGCTCTCCCTCGACGTCTCCTCCCTCATCACCGTTGCTGCCTAGACCACCGATTGTCACGCCATTGCTCGCCGACTCTTCTCCTCTGCGCGCTAGACGAATGCCGCACCGGCCTCCCTCGCCTCCTCCGCCTTCAACCGACTGCCCTCCTTCGCCTCCACCAACTTCCAATATCACGCCACCATCTTCACCACCTGCGGCAGTCGCCACCATCGCTCCGCCACCATCATCGCCGCCGGTAGATACGAGCCCTAATTTGGGTGGTGAGGTTAGTCCTATTTCAAGCCATAATCTGCCTGTGGAGGGTTTAACAACATCTGATTCATCTGAGGATGAAAACTTTGTTCCACCTAAATCTCCCTCCACTGTATTGAGTCCTTCAAAGTTATATTTCTTGACTTGGTATGATCAACCTTGTGCACACATGCCCGAAGCCACTGTTTTGACTGACTCTACACCTCACATTGTTGAGGATGAAATTGTTGGGCTTGATCACATTGAAATGCATGATAGGGAAGAGGTTTATGACACCCCACATAGTGAGGCTGATTCAGAAGCCAACATAAGGAATTTGACCCCAATTCCTACTAAAAAGATAAAGGGATTGGGAAGGATTTTTGCTGCCAGGTCAAAATCTGTGGCAAGTCAGCCTCTTAGAAAACGACCAAGGCACACTCCACTTTCTATTTAGTTGAGGCATACAACCTTTGTGCCTAGAAAATCACCTCGAATGGCCACGGTTAGGCATGATGATACAGCCTGCCCTTCTCGGGTGCGAGCCACACGCAGCATGTCAAACACTAAACCCATTCTTAGGCCATAACGACAGTTTAATGGGTTTAGCATTGAAGTCGCACAGTTGAAACAAAGATAAAAAACAAGAAGGTGTTGCCAGATAAGGGGTTCGATAGGAGAAGTATCGAAGAATTCGGTTTTATCCGGGACGTGATCACCAAGCAAGGATGGCAAGTGCTTTGCGAGGTAAAAAGCTCTTTTAATTTGTCTTTAATTAGGGAGTTTTACGCCGAAGCTTGTGTATTGAGCACTACAAAGATTAAGGTCCGGGGTGTTCGGGTGAGTATCCCGGCCAAGGCTATTAATAAGCTTTTAGGCCTTTCACCCCCAGCCGAGACTGATTTTGAGACGCTTTCTCAATCGTCCTCATTTGCCAAACTTGAGGAAATTGGTAGAGAGCTTGGGAAGGCCGGAATCAGGTGGGATGCCCATAGTAACTACATGTTACGGACTTATAGGGCTTCAAATTTAAAGCCCAATGCTAATGTGTGGATAAACTTCATTAGATATTCTCTCAACCCAACTACCCATGACAGTTCTATTTCGGTTGAGAAAATCATATTATTATACTGTGTGGTTACGGGTAGGACCATTAATGTGGGGAAAGTTGTTGAAAAGGCCATTCTTTATTGTTCCAAAAGGAGACAAGGGAAGCTGTTTTTCCCAAGCCTGATTCACAAGTTGCTTATGCAAGCTGGTGTTCCCGAGTATACTGATGACTTAGTTATTAAAGAGTGTGAGGAGAAGTGGACAATAGACATGAAGGCTGTTTCGAAGCTTAGAGAGAGGAGTGAGAGAGGAAGGGAATTACCCGGTGTGACTAGGGCTATGGAGGAGCTTTTAGAGCAAAGTTGTAGTATGATGGACTTTCTGATAGAACAGCGGGCCGAGATGGTAGAAAAGTTAAAGACCATGCAAGCTGATTTGACAACCAGGTTAAAGGCAAGTGAAAGGAAGATGAAGAAGAGGTTTGAGAAGCTGAAAGAAGACTTAGAGAATGGGGTAGCTGAAAAGATCAAAAGGATGCAGAAAAAGCTGAATCGGTACAAGAAGGAGACCGAGAGACTGAGGACAGAGATTGCATACGTGGCTGCCCGGAGTACACAGCCTACTCTTCCGGAGTAGGACAGGTTTACCACCCTACTTTAGCTTCATATTTTGATTTTTTGAGTCGGGAATAGTTTTTTATAATTTATAGTCTTATTTTTACGCATGATCATTTCACTTGAGAACTGTTAACACATGAGATCATAGCCCGAATAATTTTAGTGATTGTTTGTCATTTAATCATGGTACTTTTTTTTTACTAGAACTAGCAAAACCCTTTTTGGGAAAACACTTTGATCACACAAATCACCATTAGGAAATGAGATAGGCCATCTTTTCTATACTCATATTAGCCACTTGCACCCTTTAAACACCATTTACCCCACAAAACGTCAATGAGGACATTGCCATATTCAAGTTTGGGGGAGGAGTTTACATAAGGACACAAAGTCAATACAAAAGAGCAAAGCTCTAAATTGATTCCTTATCACACAAAGGGTGTTGAAAACACAACAAAAGTCCCATAGGGGCTATGTGTTTTAGAAAATGATATGAAATGGCATAACAAAAGTCCCATAGGGATTATGTGCAAACTCCAAACAAAAGAGGCCAAAAGGCCCAAAATTTTAAAAAATTTATATATGGAGTATACAAGTGAAAAAGGCTATGAGAGAAAAGATACGCCATGAGAGAAAACCCCTTTAAGCCCTATTGATCCTAAAATGGTGATTGTGTTTGAACTTAACAAAGAAAAGGAAACGCTAGCCTATGGTTCATGCAAAGAACTTGGTTTTGAGTAACACATCTTAGATTTATGAAAGGCTATGAACATCATGATGTTATAACTCTTTTTGGGAAGGCACTTAATGCCTTGAACATGCATTTTAGTTTATATTGAGTCTTTATATTTGTCTTTTGGTTTCTTGGGGACAAGCAACGGTTTAAGTTTGGGGGTATAATATGTGTTGAGAATTTAACACATAAAGCGCTCTTTTTACGTCTTTTTAGTTATAATAATTTCTTTTCATTCCCACTTTGAGTCCTTTTCATTTATTTCTTTATATTTTTGTTATTATGAAGCTAAATATTGTGGTTGACTTGTTGGTATGCGTAAATGAAGCTAATGGAGAGTTTTTGTGAAAACAGCAAATGCTATAGCATTGGTGTAGCGTCGACCTGATTCATACACAGCTTTTTGGAGGGCTTAATGGATAAGACGCTGACTTTTTGAAGATGGAGGACAGCTGTAAAAGCTGGATTTTTAGTAGAAAAATCTGATGTTAGACTTTGGTTAAGACTATGTATTTTCTAGTTACACTTTTGTTAGTTTGTAACTTACTTTTAGAAACCTTAGCCTACGAGTTTATTTATTTTGTCTTCTAGTGCCCCTTTTAAGTATAAATAGAGGGCTTGGGGTGCCTTCTAAACCATCCCATTAATCCTCCATTTCCATCTTTTCTTCCTTTGTCTTGCTTTTGTAAACACTCTCCAAGGGTATTTTTAATTAAGTACTTTAAGTTCTTCATCTTTTTCTTTATTTACTTTCTCGTCTTTTATTTTCCGTCATTTATTTTCTCGTCTTTTATTTTATC